AGCTTTCGTGGGTAAGAACCTCACTTCTTCAGATGCCTTGTATGCCTTGCAAGGCATCTGAAGAAGTGAGGTTCTTACCCACGAAAGCTTATGCTCCCAATACTTCTGTTAGTCTCAAAGGTGCCAGAAGACCCTCTGTTACTTTCAATTAGAAACATTTTTCTGACTTTTTTCTTATGAGCTCTAGTGCCCTGCCCCTAAGAAAAAGCAGAGATGTGATTAAATTAAGACCAGTAAAAAAAAATCTAAACTTCCCTTAGTATTTTCCTCAGAACTTGCTGCTTTAACTACCCCCACCTTCTCTCCACACAGCACATACTCTTCCTATAATGAGGCAATCACAGAACTGACCATCCAGATGGGACAAAGACCAAATGGAGTCTGGCCAACTCCTTTCCATATTCCCTTTGGTCTAGGAGAAGGTGCGTAGGGCTGGAGGCCAGGAGACAATAACTTAAAATATAACTTCTGCTTCTGACAAGTGTTAGTAATTCGGTGCCTTTCACAGCCTGTATCATAAAGTCAGGCCTCATGTCCCACTGAGAGGTTACACAGCTGGGAACAGAACCCAGATCGCTAAAATGGCAGCCCCTCATCCTGGTGTCATAGCCCCATTATCTCTCAGAACCTACCACAGTTATGTACTTAGCTTTGTTTCTAAAAATGATATTATCTGGGAGTGGGACAGTGTTTGTAACCATGACAGTGTATCATTTTAGGGTTTAGGTTTTGATCTGTTGGTTGTAGATAGTTTGGTGACAAAAAAACAACCTCCAGTTAAAAATGTTCTAACCTAAATATTCCAAAAGATTCAGCTGTGCACATTGGGGCTGCATTTTCAAAATAACAGGCTCTTCGCGTATAACCCAAAACTGGCAATTGGTTGTGAAGAAAAGATTCCTGAATGAGTTTACAGAAAGCAATCTGTGCAGAGTCTCACAGACAGTCGGACTTTCAAACCAGAAGGGACTTTTTCAAGCCCTTCTGTTTCAAAAAGTTGCAGTCATCCAACCCAGTGCTGAGCCAATTCAAGCCTACTTAGGCAAATTGACTTTATGATACTGCCTGGCACATCACAGTTAGAGCCGGGGGGGATCAAAAACACAGCAGCAGGCACTAAAGAAAGTGGGTGATGTAGACAGATATTTGTTTTCCATCCCTTAACGGCATGGGGCAGTGACGGACGCAACTGCTCAGAGCTACACTTCTTGACTCAGCAGCCAGAGGGCCAGCGCCCCTGTTTCAATAACATTCTCCGTTCTCTTCTTAGAGGCTGGCATTGAATGTCCACAGAGCTACAACCATTTAAATAGTACTAAAGTTGTCATAAACTTTTGCACCGGAAGATATTGGGGCTGACTTGGCCAGGTGTCAGTGAATGGGAAATGCCTGTCATCCTGGAATCCAGCCCTTATTTCCCCTGCTCTGCAGAATGATGATTAAGACTCTTTCTTTGTGCAGAATTCTCCCAGGCTCAGAGGTTCAGGTGGGTGTGTACACAGCTTGGAGATACCTGCTTCCCTTGGAGATGTCCCTCCAATTTTGTGTACATTGAAAGATGCTATCCACGGGGCGTTTGCTGTCGAAGGTAAGTTCAACATTCCACAAGGCAGACATTGCAGTGTGAACAGAAATACCTGTTCCTCTCCTTCTTACATCTGAGCTGTTGTTTAATGCTTTTGGAGGTTCACTGCTTATGACACAGCCCACATTCTAGGCCATGTGGGGGCGGGAGTGGTCCCAGCATATATTAGAATCACCCCAATGGCTGTTCTTCCTTACATCTGCCTTACTCAGGATCTCTGTGGGCAACTCCACAGCCTGGAGCCGCCCCGCTTCTCTGCAGTGCTCAGTGCTACCGGGATTGCCACCTCAGACCTGAGAGCCTCCAGCCCCGTCTCCAGCACCACCCCAACTCCAGTGCTTGCAACAGGGACAGCAGAGACCTATTATGGCAGCCATGTGCTGCTCATGCTTTGGGCGAATTGTTTGCCAGCCCTTGTCGTTCTTTTACAGCCTCCTTCTGCTGCCGAAGCATAATCTATGGGTAGGGGTTGGAGCCGAGACACCCTGTTGTCAAACATTGCTTTTATATTTTAGAAGAGTGAAATCGAGCAGGAACAACAAAAGTAAAGTCTCCACAAGAGACAGTCTGCTGGGGAAGTGAAGGCAACAATTAGAAATGAAACAATATCTGTAACAAATGGGAAAACAGGGGAAGTAGATAGCAATCAATATAAATTAGAAGTCATGAAGTGCAGAAATATGATAAAGGAAGCTAAGGACATCAGGGAGGAATGCATGGCTGGCAGGGCTAAGGACAAGAAACCATTTTTTTTAAATATCAGGAATAAAAGAAATCCTAACAATGGTATAGGTCCATTCCCTGGAGGTGGTAAAATCGTTAATAACAATGCAGAGCAGGCAGAAGTGTTCAATAAATATTTCTGTTCTGTATGTGGAAAGAAGTTGGGTGATGTACTGATGTTACATAAGGATGGTGAACTACTGTCTAGTCCATTAGTAACTAAGGAGAATGTTAAACAGCATCTATTAGGGATAACCCTTTTTAAATCAACAAACCTGGATAACTTGCACCACAGAGTCCGAAAAGAGTTCGCTGAGGAGATCTCTGTTCCACTGATTATTGTTAATACAGTAGGGAAATACCAGAAGACTGGAAGAGTGTTAATGCTAGGCCAATATTCAAAAAGGGCAGGCAAGATGATCCAGGTAACTATAAGCGAATTAGGTTGACATCAATCCCTGACAAAATAATGGAAAAGCTGATTCAATCAATAAAGAGTTAAAGATTAGGAATATAATTAATGACAGTCAACATGGACACAAGATCTTCTTAAATAGACCTAGTTACATTTTTGATGACATGACAAGTTTGGTTGATAAAGGTAAGTTTGTAACTGTAACATGCTTATACATTTGTAAAGAGTTTGTATTTAGTACTGCACAAGATTCTGATCAAAAGACGTAAGATCATACAACTTCAGCAAAGCTCACACTAATATAATATAACAATTTCAAAATATCTGTCAATGGGGAATCGTCATTGGATATGGGTGTCTCCCACGGGTTCTGAAAGGATAGGTTCTAGACCAGGGATCGGCAATCTTTGGCACGCGGCCTGTCAGGGAAATCCGCTGGCCAGGACGGTTTGTTTACCTGCAGCGTCCACAGGTTTGGCCGATCGTGGCTTCCACTGGCTGTGGTTCACCATCCCCAGCCAATGGGGACTGCGGGAAGCAGTGTGGGCCAAGGGATGTGCTGGCCGGGGACGGCGAACCGCGGCCAGTGGAAGCTGCGATCGGCCGAACCTGCAGACGCTGAAGGTAAACAAACCGTCCCAGCCTATGAGCAGCTTTCCATGATGGGCCACGTGCCAAAGGTTGCCCATCCCTGCTACACAGGATAGCCACCATGGGCAAATTAATGTTATAGCTGGGACAGATCCCAGAGAAGCAGTTGGGAGGGTAAGAGATTTTCCCATCTACTAAAACATCAAATATGCAGGAGATGTGAAGCTGGTAGCTCTTTGGGGTTGCAGAGGGAGAGCTAGGGAACTAGGCTGGAGTGGCCATGCCAGCAGCTGCTCATATGCAACTACCACCTGAACAGAGTTGGCCTTCAGCTAGAACTGAAATTTCCCTTCAGTCTTTAAGAGTAAGTTGTTTATCACCCAAGTAATTAGGTGTCATTTTAGCTTCAGCTGTGCCCAAGGTGTGTGTGATAGAACAACTGTACCTGGATGTGAGTCGTGCTTTTCTGCAGTGTAGATTTTATAGGCAGCCAGTTCACCTGTTTAGATACACCTGACTATCCCCATTAATACTCGGTAACACAATGTCACAGTAGGGACCTCTTCGCCCACCACAGAGTGACTGGGCAAGTCCTCCTGTGTAACTGATTTGAAAACAAACATCATATTATCCCTGTTCTGTGGGAAAACATCACAAAATCTGATTCTCTTTTCTCTGTTCAGGAGATTTTCTGACTGACTGTCTAATCAGGATCTCAGGGAATCAGGGAGACAGCCACTTGCTTCTAAAATCATCAGATCCTGCTTCAATGGAACGCTGAAGTGCTGCTTATTTGGGCTGTAAAGAACCTTGTGAGCTGGAGAAATTCCATAAGGGAGCCCTGTACCATCCCTATAAGATTTGTTACTCTCCTTTTAATAAAAGCAAGCTGGTGTGAGATCATATTCTTGAAGTGTGTGTGTGTGTGTGTGTGTGTGTGTGTTGGTGGGAGGCAAGGGGGCTGTTTCTAGCATTATTCTCTTCAGAAATCCATCTTGTTTATCTTTTTAAAAATAACAAATTAAATAAAATATACTAAAGAAGTCCTGATTGCATGTTAATACCACACATGGGTGTTGATAGATGATGGTCCACACATCTCTGTAGGTTTCAATGAGCTCTTGTGGATAGATATTTATTTCTTATAACTGTTACAAATCCTTTCAGTTTGTGGTGTCAGAGGAGGTGGGTTCAGTCACAGGTTGACTGTACGGTGTGTAACACCCATCGTGGAACTCCATGGCAACTAGACCCTCCCTCTGTTTCAAAACTCATCATCCACATTGAGGAGACCAGAGGAGATTAGACCAATCTGCATTAAGGTCTAAGGCCTGATTCTGCTCCCTGTTACATTGACAGCAATAAATCAGGAGTAACTCTATTGAAACCATCAGACCCTTGTGTAAACTGGTGTAAGTGAGATCATAATTAAGCACATGATTGTCCATAGAAAGATGAGAACAATTTAGAAAAGGGAAATATTTTGCCTATTTCAATTGGTGATATGATTTCCCAAAATTCAAATCGGATCCTTCCTCAAAGGTTCCCTGAAACCAACCTCACCCATTGCACCATATATCAGAAATGTCATGTAGATATTTTTTTAAGTCTTTAAATGTGAGGGATCTGCATTTGAAAATTGATCATCTTTAACTAGGCAGAAGCTATCGTCTTTCTGTGATTGTCTTTGTTGTACTGTCACTAAAGTTCAGCAGGCTGCTCTGTGAGAAAGCAGGTTCCTTCTTCAAGGTTGATGCTCAATTAGAAGGCGCATCTTTTTGCTGCTGCTGTCACCTAGTGGTTGAGAGCCAGGAGTGCCAGTGAAAGACACTTTAGAAATGCATATAGATGATGAAATCATGATCTCCCTTCCCTAGCTGCACAGAGCTTATCAGCTCTCACATCTTCTAAGGGTATGTTTACACTGGGGCTTGAAGGGTCATTTCCTGTTCAGTAGACATACCACACAAACTCGGATTGAGCTAGCGCATTAAAGATGGAAGTATAGCCATGGCAGTGCAAGGGGTGGAACAGGCTGAGTATGATCCCATCTGAACTCTAGACACTTTCTTGGAGTGGTTAGCCGAAATTACACCTCCACCTCCAGTGGAGACATAACTTGAAGGACACTTGACATCCGGAGGAGATGGGGGTGGGTTTAAGAGGGCTTGGGCACCTGGGAGTGGTTGAGGCCGTTCTTAGGGTGTAGAGAGAGTTGATAGCTAGCGAGGTGAGAGTCTATCAGGGTTTGTCCATGTAGTGAAGACTCCCAAGGGCAATGTACAAATAATGATTTAAACTATTCCTGTTTCTCTGGAATTTTATTAACACTGTCTGCTCTTAGGTAACTTTAACTATTATGATAGACTCAGGCCAGTTGGGTACAGCAGAATAGCAGAAGGCAGATATACTGGCCACTGGATTAACAGTTTTCTGTTTCCTGACTGACCAGATCAGGGGCTGCTCCAGGCTAATGAGAACACCTGACTCTAATTAACCCTCAAAGAGTCAGGTGAGGCCATTAAGCTAATGTAACCACCTGACTCTAATTAAGGCCCCGCTGATACTATAAAAAGGGCTCACTCCAATCAGAGGAGAGCCAGGGAACCAGAGGAGAGGAAGTGCGGCTGAAGGGCTGGTTAATGAAGACACCCTCAAACCATCGGTAAGGGAGCCTTAAGGTAAGGGTGAAGAAGGGAGAAGCAGGAGAGCTGTGGGGAAGTGGCCCAGGGAAATGTAGCAACTCTGGCAGTGAAAGGTTGTCTGCCAACAGCTGCTACCATTAGGGTCCCTGGGCCAGAACCCGGAGTAGAGGGCGGGCCCGAGTTCCCCCCCAACCCACCACTTGATAAGTGCAGTTTCCTGTTAGAGATATTTCTAGACTACAACAATCTTAATCACATATTGAGTTACCACAATTTCTAAACAACAAGGATTCAATTTCTTAGAGAAATGCAAGTATATAGCACACATTTTAGCCATGTCCATGGTTTTAACTCAGGTACATACTTTCAGAGGAGTATTCAGCTTTAAAATAACCAAGTTTTCCTTTGGGAAACAAAATACATGTATTTTTGCTACTTATCCATTGAAAGTGGCATAAAAGTGAATTCTCCAGCTAAGCCTCACGGTAGCACTGACTGGTTTCTCAATATAGACAGAAAGTTCCTTCACTCAGGTGGTCATGATAGTTACGTCCTCTTCCTGGATTTTGCAGTTGTCGCCTTAGGTAGGACTGTAGGACTTAAAAGGATCAAGTTACTAAATTGCTTATCGAGAAAGAGACTTGAGTTGTTGCTAGACAGGGGGTGCTCTCAGCGACCAGGTAATGTCAGGTGCTTTCCCTCTCTCTCATTCAGATATTTTGGCTTTAGGAAGCAACACTTTGATCAAAACAGTCTGTTTTTGTAGTTTCTGAAGGGTATCATGGCTTGACTTCTCTTTAAAACTGACCTGGGCCAATCAGAAAATGACCCATGATTCGTCCAACCTGAATACGAGTTGTCCCGTCTCATCATCCAATGACTAGGGTGACCATATTTCCCAAAAGGAAAACAGGACACCACTTGGGGCTAGCCCGAGCCCTTCTACCCCCCACCCCCACCCCACCCCGTGCAGGCCTGAGCCGCTCGCCCGAGGCCCCCTCCAAGCCCTGCACTCCCCTACCCTGTGGGGCTGGCATCACTGCTCACCTGAGCACTGCCTGCCCCCCACCTGAGCCCTACATCCCCGCTGCATGGGACTGACATCGCCGCTCAACACCACCCCCCCCCCCCCGCCCATGTTCCTCCACACCCCATTTTTTTGACAAAAGTGGGCATTTGTCCTGTTCGCTC